GAGCAACTAGAAGCCTGATCAATGGCCTTTATACGAATAGTGTCTGTAGTGAATCCATCTGGGTGAATTCTACCTTCGTTTTTATCCGAAATTGATGCTGGGGACACACGGGTTGCCGATGAATTGCCTTTTAACATTTTTAAATTGAAATCACTAGTAGATTGGCCAATCCCATCAGTTGCCTGATTCAATTCGACATGATGATTATTGGCTGTGGAAAGTGGGTCTACAGCCGGGAAGGTAAAGGCTAAGTGTTGATCAATTTCGTCCAACGGTAAAAACGTAAGTGAAATCTGATCTGAAGGAGCATTTGGCGGAGCTAGTTGGAGTGGCATTTGCGTTGAAGGGGAAGCAAATGCAGACACGGGCAAGGTGGATGGAATTTGTTGATTAGGTATGGGATGAGGTTCACCCGAAGGAGTAATTTGGGGGCTCCAGTTTGATATTCTAGTGGATTGAGGAGAAAAACTTGAAAGGCAAAGTGGCTGAATAATTAATGAGTGAGATTCAGATGAAGAAAGTGGTTTTGAATATTGATCAGGTGTCTTTTGGAGAACAGAAGGCTTTGGAATATTATCAACTTGAAGAGCAGTGAGAGGAGAAAGTTGGGTAGATAATGCCGCTTGTTGAATGGGAACAATATTTGCAAATGAGCTTGTAAAAATATTTTTCGAATTTTCTGCTAATTGATACTGATGTAGTAACGATTGGCTCCTCGGTTGTTGCAGCTGGCACTGCCAAGTAGGCTGGGCTGACTGAGGTACCCATACATTAAATGGTTTCGCAAGTCTTGTTGATAGAGGGTCGAATTTAATCGTTTCATGGCCAACTAAGGAACTAGAAATAGAGGAGGCACAGTCATTTTGCCTTAGTTGGTTACCAGAAAGTAAACCTGATTGAGACATGGACCGAACAGTTGAATCCACAAATTCCATTCGAACTAGAGATGAAGAATCAGATGCAAGGTCTACAGAACGTGCTTTGTTAGCCTCTAAACCATTCGTAATCAGGTTAAAAGAGTTTACGTCGTCAAGTGAAGATTGTTGGAAGTTGGTTGAATGATCAAATGGCATGCAATCTGATATGTGATCCATTGTATCTAGTTTATCACTGCCGCTGTGAGTTAAGTGTATCCGAAGAGGAAAGGTATTGGAAAGATCATTTTCGGCAGTAAGCAACAAGACGGATCCGGATCTAGAGAGAGCTGTGCTGATCGGGACACGCCGCGAAGAAAACTGATTGTTGGCTTGAACCGTTTGTTGACCAATGACGTAGTCAATTTGTGATTCTTTTGTTCCCAAAGGACCGCAAGATACTACAAAGAGAGAAAGTAAAAAAAGATTACATACGAGACAAATGCATCAAATTTCCCAGGGCATATAACAAAACACAAATAAGAAGAATTAAGACTAAGGCTATTAATGAAGACTTTGTGAGAGTGAGTTAACCATATAAAGTAACCATGAGCCCCTAAACAGGATAAATAATTACTTTAAAGAAGAATTCAAGGCATCAATCATGCTGTAAGACTTAGATTTAAGAACTAAAGTGACATACAAGGCTAGCCCATTTATAACTGATACCGAAGAAAGTATATAATTACTATTTTATTTCACCGACTAGCAAGTGATAAATGTGTAGTAGAAGTATTGTTCGCAGGCTAAAATTTAGCCTTATTAATGATAT